TTGATCCGAAAGGGGCTGAGGGTATAAGATTTACGTGACATCAATATTACGGCCAAGGGAAAAATATCAGAGAAAAATAAATGTTTAATACTTTATTTGAGTGATACTAAAAACACAGAAACAAGGTTAAGGGATATTCTTCATTCTTGCATTATCGCCAAATACCGTGTATCAATGAATCTAATTGGTCACAAATTAAATCCGCGTGAGTGAAATATTGATCTGGTACCTTCAGAGGTAGACGTGCAATATTCAATGCTGAAAATCACATTTGTTATCAACAACGCTTCTCATAATCATAATTGAAATAATGAAATTTAAATTTCGCGATGGACGGACTTACTGGATGGATAATTTTAAAGAATGAATGACAATAGTACAGTTTATTTTTTAATCATTTTTTCTAATAATATATACAACGTACATTATCTAGGTGAACATCTGCAATAATAAATTTATTATCAATATTTTTAATATAATTAATTATTTCTTTGATCTGAACTGTTCATTATCTTTATTGAAAGCTTTAAAGGGATAACTAGAAAGTGATGCTTCTGTAAACCAGCTATAAGTGATGATTCTTGAAACGAACATAGATGGTTCTGGTAGCTAATAATGTAATTCTCAAAACAAACAATGATTGTTTCATTTAGTCATCTTTTCTCTACAACTATGAGATTTTCTGGGGTGCAACATTTTGTTGAAGCTTAAAATATTTGATTTTTATCTAAAGGTTTTGTATATAGTTGTTTAAATTCTATTATTAACTAACAAAATCGACAAATTTAGTTTGAACATTTTGCATTATTCGATTGACTTTCTTATCTCATATTCCATATTTTATCTCGCTGGTGTTAAATATAGTAACATTTCATTGATGCATTCATATAACCGGATGGTAAGTAAGTATGTATGAAATATTTGAGGAATGAAAACATCGAAAACTCAGTTAACATGCAACGGATCTTCATCAGGAAATACGTAAATATACTAACGAACATTATTGTGTGTGGGCTTATTGCGATATATTTCAGAATTTGTATATTATGACTAATTATGCATAATGCAATACACAGTAAAGCATGTCGGGTATTAATATAATATCACAGTCAACAATATTAACACAGGGTAATAAGTGCTATAAGTGTCGCCTTTATGACGTCACTATACTTGCACGTGTGTACCTACCTTCAGTATGGTTCATTGTTTTGTATTGGATGAATCGTGATTTCCATTTTCTTTTACAAATTTTAAAGATATGACTCGACTTTATAGTACTCAGTCACATGGAACTCCGGTTTTTCTTTAATTTAACCAGGTCCCAGCTGTTGTTAATTTTGTCTGAAATTATAGAAACGGATTGGCTACATATACGAAATCTGTTTTGATTTTGTAATAAAATCTCCATCTTTCCTTGAGTAGGGGGCTTCGTTTCAGCGAAACCATTTTGGACAAGCTAACGTCATTTCAAACCACCATCAAAATTGGTACTTAGTACAGAAACAGTACTTTTCAAGAATATCATAAATTTCTAAGCATTCTCAAGGGGCGTCTTTGATTCCTAATCAGTATCATATACCATTTAATTTTATAGCCTTTCACTTCCAGTTAATATGTGTTAAATAATAAAATATTGGAGTCACTAGCCAGGGGATTCACCATATTATATGTATATAATATTAACAAAAAAAAGGTGAGTAAGAATACATTAAGACTTTCAATGAGGCGTGAATATATTAATTAACCATAGAATGACATAGAATGGTCTAGAATAAACAATAGATAACACATATTAGTTTATATCACGTTGCCATATGATAAATTACATACTTTGAAATACATAAGTACACGTTCTGAATAAAATAAATTTTCAGAGAAAGTGATGTTTTATTATGTAAAAATGGAGCACCTTTTCATGCCAATGAAGGCAGGAAACTCAAAACAACGAGGCTGCTTTACCTTACCAATAGCAGAAATACTAAACATGGCGCGAACTTAACTATACCGTTATCAGAGCCACCGGGTTACAAACATAATTTCTGCACCGTCCAAAGTTCCAAAAATGTAAAGAAAAGTTACTTTGAGCGTATAATTTCAGTTATTTTCACTGGAGATAATTACAATTAGGTAATTGGACTTGAGTTTTGTTCATTTTGATGAGAATTTGTCACTGTGGGTTTGCCATAAAATCGTAATTTCGTATTTTAAAATAAATTTGGGTATCTCAAACATTGCTTAAAATATCAAAGACCTTTATTCTTGTACAAATGGCGTTTTCAGAATTTTATTTTGCATCTTTGAGATATGATTGGCAAGACAACAAAAGCAGTGAAGTCGAAACATACCTGAACCGATATATGATTTGTTCAGTATGTAATGCAACAGTTGACCCTGTATCCACAACAATGACATTTACGTACTAGGCAAATATGCAGTTGTTATATTTTTTTTTTCAGTGCATGAATATCATATTATAGAGGCTTCATTCTGAATGTTAATGTTAATTGTGAAATTTATATGGTCATTTATCAACAACTTCGAATCAAAGGACATAATATAGGTCAATAGCGACCATTGCTTCACCAACTAGTAAGTATTGATCCAGGGTTAGAAAACTGATAAAACGGATAACGAGATAGGCCTAATATGTAACATGTGGATCAGATATAAATATTGTGTAGAACTATAATTTGATGATAGTATTACATCAGTCATATTTGGGTCACCTCAGGTGATACAAGCAATAATATTGTCCATAATTCGATCAACAAATTTCCTGACCAGATTGTTTTAAGCAAGTTAAGTTGATTGACGTTGTTGATCGTTGAACAAGCAATTTCCTAAAAGCATGGGTCCATAAATCAAATAGAGTTCTCGTATTGTGACTGCATGATAAATGCGCTTTTACCACTGAAGGTCATTTTTAAGCCAGTTCGCGAACTGGTTAACTACATTTTGGCATCTGAACTATGGAAGGCCATTCAAGACAAAAGTCTTCGTTTGTTATTAGTAACTGGAGCCGTCAATTTCTGATTTCATCGAGGCGGGGTCAGATACGAAACGAAAAAGAACAATTTCAACATTAATACGACCTTCTGGGTAAACAAACATACGTTTGGCATATAACTTTTGTTAGTTATTTCAATTTTGTTTGCACTTTTTGGCCTAATAGG